AACGCAGGACCGACCAGATCCCGTCGATCCTGCACCATGATGGCAACTGACATCGATGACCGACGGTGGTGAGTAACGACTAGCGGTGGTTTTGGGTGGTTGTGGGTATTTTGTTAACTTTTAAACTTTTTTATGGCTGAGGTGTTTTAGCTAATTTCTCAAATATAGGGGGGCAGGGTAATTGTTATCTGGTAGACATTTGAGGGCAATTGTATCTGAAATGGTTTTTAATTAAGGGCAAAATGAGTATAAAAATCATATTACCCCGGTAATGTTTTAATCCTAAAGGTGGAGGAGAGTCTCGGATTACCCCTCACATTACCAACAGTAAACACTATTTGACGTAAAAGATTCACATAATATTTTATTACTTACAAACCAAACACCGAAATATTACAAAATAAACAAAGATTACTTCCGCTATCTTATATGCCCCTGATCCAAACGCACCTAAGATAGTAAGTGATCATTCATAGGAAAGTTAGAGATGATTCAAAACAAGTGTTACAAACTTTAAATGATGCATTCATAATCTCTCTTTTTCTAGGAAAATTAGTTTATCTACACAAAATAGATAAATAAAAGAGACAATTGCAAAACTGAAATCTTCTTTTGTGGGAAACCATGAAAAAAGAAGCATGAAAATGAAAATATTTGGGTCTGTTTGTTTTGTTATTTTGGATAGAATTTTGGGAATAATATTGAGTAGTTGAATAAGGTGAATATTACGAGGTAAAATTTAAAAATTAACAAAAAAAAACCTCTTAGGTTTGCTAATTTAACTAAACAGCCCAATATATAAAAATTTTATAAAATGACAAAAACACCCCCACCCTCCCACAATGCCAAATTCCAACCACTACCGCCGGAAAATGATGTTACATCGCAAACCGATCAAATCTAGCGAGTAGGACATTGATATGGTCTTTTTCGGCCAGATCCACCATGAATATGGCCGAAAAATGCCAGATCTACTACTAAATCTGGCTGTTGACGGCCGCTAAAAGCCAGATTTGGCCGTCAGCAACGGCCAAAAATATGGTCGTCGTTGTCGGTCAACGATGGCCAACATTTAGTTGTTGTTGACCGTCAACAACGGTCATTTCTTTGGCAATCGTTGACGGCCAGATCCACTATGGATCTGATCAGAAAATGTCATATTGAAGAATTACTGGCCAGTTCCGATCGTTTCTACGTCGTTGTGACAGATTCGTCGGTGGTTGCCAGAATCTGGCAACTATGGGTGGGTGGGGATGTTTTTGTTAATTTTTAAACTTTTTTCTCTAGGGGTATTTAATTAAATTAATAAACTTAATGGGTCTAAAAGTAATTAAAAATAGAATAATATTTTCCAAATAATTAAACAAACAAGTATTTTAGGAATAGGATAAGGAATAGGGCATAAAATAATAAAACAAACGGACCATATACATTTTGCCACTAAATTTCTTATTTACACCTGTCAATTTCGATGTTTGCACGAGCCTCATACAACATAAAGATAGAAGCCTTATTGATATGGAAAAATACTTGGAATAGAAAGACAGCATCTCATAACATATCATGCTTTGTCAACGCACTTTGGAAACTATGATCAGGTGTTGCAGAAACAATTTAGATTTATAGCAAAAATTAAACAAAGAAAATACCAACTGCTTATTTCCACCATAATAAGACTTTAATTACCTACTGGACAATTACACATGGCTCAATTTTTTTGTCATGAAACTTAAAATGAAAAGTATATCCAAGAGAACATTGCACGAAAAATTCATTCAATAATGAAATAGAACCTCAATATTGCATTATAGAAACTTGTACACAACATACATTACAGCAGCAAGAATATAAAGTGATGAACTAGTTTTTTTTATCGGTAACAGTACTCTCTTCTGATGAACTGGTTGTTTTGATCAGAAGCAGTATCATTCCATTTTCTTGTTATCCTTTTAATTGTCAAGCAAACTAAAGCAAAAGTCCAAAACACACAATATGTCAACAGATATGATCAATAATAATGCATACGAAACAACAAACAAAGAAGCCTAAGCACAAGACTTCAACGAAGCCAGATCTTCAAAAAAACCAAATAAACAAAACAAGCAGTGCAGCAAGCAAAAACCCAACCCAACCACAAAAAACTTCAGCAGCAGGTAACGAAAAGTGAAGGGAAATAGGCCAAACCAAGCTGTTGCCAGCTACCAGCAGCCATGGGACACATCACCCACCGCAGCAGAAAAAAAAAAAAAAAAAAAAAAAAAACAAAAAAAAAAAAAAAAAAAAAAAACCCCCCAGCCAACCCAACATAAGCAACAACCACAACCAAGTAATTTCTTGGACCACCATGATAGAATTAACACTAAATTTATAAAATTCCAAACACCAAAAAGAAAAGCTAAAAACAATACAACTTAAAGTAAAAGAACAATTAAAAAAAACATTCTTAAAGTGACCACCCCCAACTACACCAACTGCATATTGCTAAACCATACTTCATATGTAAAGCAAAAGAACAGAGAGAGTGTGATAGAAGTAAAGTGAAGTACCACCAATTGTATATTGTGAGGCCATACTTCAATCAATAATTTGCATCCACAGGTGATGGCCTGTAAGCGACGGACATCCTGCAATAAGGAAGCAGTGAAATAAAGAAAGAACTAGAACAGGAAGGCACTTGATACTTGCTGTATAACTTTCACTTGAACCGGCACTAGCACTAGAAAGTGACACGATTCCCACTTTTGACATGTCAACAAGGTCTTATAGAATCCCTCTTAATGGAATAAGTATTGGGTGAAAGAACTAAACACTTATGGAATAAAGATTCTGGGAGATTCAGGGGGTTCTCGAAACTGGTTTTTGGGGAGGTCGAATAGAAAGAAAGTTCTACGATCGAAGTCGAGATAGAAAAAAGAGATAGTAAGTGTTTTGGCTACTAGAGATGGAGCCGGATAGCTCTTTCATCCATCATCCGAGAGTCCTCCAATATGTCAGCCAGCTTTCTTTGGCAAGTTCACAGTGGAAAGTGGATCAGGTGGATCAAGCTTCAAGGCTTCAAAACATAGATAACTTAGAGAAAGAGGGAGAGAGATTGAGCGAAGCCCTAAAAGGTACAGTCATCCAAGCAAGGTTATTTTCATTCCCGCAGTCGGCTAACCAGGGAATTCAAGACTTCAATAAGCCTGCTAGCCTTGCTTTCAGCAATACTCAAAAATAGTTCATGTGCTTTCTTCCGTTCCACTGCGTTCTCGATACGGGTAGACAAGCGTGAAGCAAATTAAATCATCTCATTTCTTCGCACTGTCTCGTCTACGAGCTCCTTCTTCTTTCGCTCTAGCTTCAATTCCCGACTTGCTTCCGCTAGTTGGACAATCAGCTGCGGTATCTTCTCTTTAAGATTCCCGATATAAACCGGGAGCCGATCTAGGCTCGTAGTCCCTCCACGTCCTCAGGCAATGCACCACGGCTGTTATCTCTTTCTCTGGGACCGCGCCTTTCTGTCTCGTTGAGCTTCCGGCTCTCATATGCTATTGGGTGTCCCTCCTAGACCAATACTCTTCCAATGACATAGTCTGATGCTTCAATGTGCACTTCGAAAGGTATAGTATAGTTAGGCAACCTCAATACAGGTTCCTTCATCACAGCCCTCTTCAAGTCCTCAAAGGCTCTCTGACACTTGCCCTATCCCCTTAACTTAAAGCCAATGCCAAGGCTTTCTTCAATATATCTGTGAGTGGACTTCCTAGAATATCCAGTGATGAACCGACGGTATTAGTTCAAAAGGCCAAGAACTGATCGTAGCTCGGTCACGGGGACTCCCCACTCTTCTATTGCCTTCACCTTCTGCTTGTCCATCCTAATCGGCCATCCTCTATCCCAATGCCCTAGGCCCCGGGAGTCACTTCTTTCCACTTTTTTTCCTTCGACAAAGAAGAATGTGACTTGACAATCTAAGACCATTGGATTCTTGTAATTAATTCCTTTCTTTCTGCTTTTGCTTTTTCAATTTTTTGAAAAGGATGTGTTGGCAATTGGTGCCTGGTCCAAGGAAAGGAGGAGTCGAGGTCTACCTTCGAATAAGCAATCACAAACGGTCATAGGCTCAGCCCTAGTTCTTAAGGCAAAGTCTCACATGAAAGACAAAACTCAAGCGAGAAATGAGGCAGAAAGAGAGAAACCCAAACGAAGGAGCTTCGTCAGGTGAAGACAGTGCTAGCGAAGTGAATTAAATAAAAGGCATCAGTTGACTCTGTTTCTAAGAGCAGAGCGGGGAAGAGCTTATAGGTATTTACTTTTGGTTAAACAAAAGAGAAGTAGAAAAATCCGATGCTAGTCTTTGAACCTTGGCTTCTGCCACTTGTCTTGGCATAGATGTTCTCGAATACCGATGAGTTTGTGCCTTTTTCGCTGTTAGTGAGATTGTTATTTTAAGAGGTGTAGGTGAAAAAAGAAATTAAAGAAAAAAATAGGAAGAAACCTTTAGCTTATTCAATCAAGCAATATAAATAAAATACATAAGCTTAATCCCTTGTTTTGTTATTTGTCAATAGATTTCCAATGAAAAATTCCCCAGTTGCAAGTACTGTAAATTTTTTATATTTCTAGATCCAATTACCAATTCTCAGATGTTTTTTTTTTATATGCATCTTATATCAATAAAATTGATTTTTGTACTTATACGTATAGAACATGATATTCTATAGTAGCACCATGATCGTGTGGATCCAAGCCGACTCATAAGTAAATAGAAAATAAAAAACAGTTCCAATCGTTATGGTTGTTCAACAACGAAGAAAGAGCTTCCTCATCTATTTGTGAATGATTGTTCATTCACTATTTTAGACCATACACAAGCAGCAAAAAATGGGAAAGACAGACACATTAACACCATTCAAAAATTTCCAAGTTAAAGAAAAATTTTGAAAAACCTTTAAATCACTGTTTCCGAAGAGCAAAACAAAAGGATTAACCACTTCAGCTTTAAAAAATAATAACCTATGAAAATGAATGGAATTCGGATAAGTCGAGAGATGAGTCATGGTTACACTACATTAAGAGGAAAGTTACTCTTAACGCCAGATAATAGATTACAGCTAAAATGATACAATTGGTCTTAAGAATACCTTAGGGGAGAGCAGTCGACCTTGAGTTTTGGGCAGGCTGAAAAAGTTTGAACCCTTACAGCACAGCGAAGAAAAGAAACCTTCAACTTCGGTTCTACATACCCACATATCAAAAATCAATTATTCTCACTAAAAAAACAAAAAACTTTGACCAAATTTACGCAAGTAAAAGGGAAAAACTTTAATAAAATTAAAGTCATTATCTCAAGGTATTGGAATTCCCTTTCAAATTGATAAAGCTACAAGAGCTAAATCCTATGGCTACTGAGCCAAAATTCATGTTGACACACACTCGGGCTTAAAATCATTGATTTCTTTCTTCATTGAATCCCTGCCTTCTTCATTAATGGTTAAACATTCTAATTCCCCAAAGAAGACACACACTCGAGCTTAAAATCATACAAACAACGCCTAACCTTCAACATCTTTTGCGGCGTTTTGGAACCCAGCAAGCGGGAAATAATCACGTTACAGGTGCAGCGCTCGTTGGGGATGCAATTGGAGGAAACAAAGAGAAGGAAACGGTGGTGGGCTTCGAAAAGAATCAAGTTCGCTAATCTTGAAAGGAAATTTGGGGAGAGATTTTAGTGTTTGTATTTTGGGGAAACTGAGATTCGATTTGGGGTTTGTTTTAGGTAAATTGAGAACTGAAATTTTGGGTTTTTTTTAATTTGGGGGGAGATGACATGGCATTTTGTTGATGTGGCAGACGATGTGGCAACCGCCGTGAGAAAGTGGTGTAAACCTAGTATTACTGAATCTTGTAAGCCATAGTTTCTGGGCATCATTCAAAGCCTTAGTATTGAAGCAGCTGTGCATTTTGTTTCACCAGTAAATCAATTAGACTCCGATACGTCCACTTCTTTTCTCTAGCATTAGGATTAAGCAACGCATACACCTCTTCAAAACTTTTAAGGAAGTTCCCTTTTCCGTATGCAGTAAGAACCAGAGGATCTGTGTCTATTTGAACAGATTCATCAAGGAGGCCTATCCTTCTCCACACTACTAAAATCCTAGTCTCATCAAAGCCAAACCTTCTTGCATCAAATAGTATCCCGAAGGTAACTATATCTGGTTTCACACCAAGTTTTGGTAGTTCAGAGAATAAGAGTTTCAAGTGCATGAAATCTTTCATTTTTAAATGAGAAAACAAGATAATATTTGCAATCGATACATTCCATGGAACCCTAGCATCTTCCATCTCCTGGACAACAAGCTCCATGCCTCTTCGACTCAAAAGACAAGCATGAGAAAGGATGCGCAAACACCAGACAAGGTCAGTCCTACCCGTTCTTGAAGCAAGATCATCCCCCAAATCATCTAATCTCGAAAACATATGGTTTTTAATATAAACCTCAGCTAGGTTCCTAATCAAATCCTCCTTTAGAAAAGCATTTGATTTCAGTAAACTTTTATAAACCTTCTCCATATCTTTCAAGGTCCCAAAGTTAGTATAAGCTTCAAGCACTGCAACCAAAGTAGATGAATCAAAATGCATTCTTTTTGAACGCAGACTTTTATATGCCCCTTCCATTCTTTTGAGCAGACCACCTCGCGCAAACTCCCGAATAAGCAAATTATAAGTAACCTGATCAGGTGAACACCCATCTTATTTCATCTCCTTCAAACACATATCAATCTTACTATACATTTTATATTTTCCATAAGATTGAATAAGACCATCATAGGTATTAGTTTTAGGTTTCAAACCAATTCCCTTCATCTCGTGAAGGAAAAACAAAGCATCTTCGAACTTGCTGCTTCTAGAATAACCATGAATTATTGAATTGTAAATCTTTAAAGAAGGTTTAAGACCATTATGCTTCATTTCTTCAAGAGCACATACAGCTTCTTCTGTCAAACCCTCTTCACATAACAACCCAATAATCTTTTCATAGTTTGATTCATTAATGCGTGACTTCTCCACATTCTTCCACATATCAAACACCTATCGACAAATCTTCAACTTTCAAATTTCAATTTTTTTTCTCTAAAGTTAAAGACAAGTTTTAAATTGAATTGAAGAGAAAATACCTGGGAAATTAAAGTGGACCTAGAGGAAGTTTGAAGGAAGCGGATAACAGCCCAGAAGTGAGGTTTGGTCCAATCTCCGTCATGTTGAAGGATTTTCAAGGGGCAAGAACGTTTATTATTGAGCCTCTGAATCAAGGATTTGAGTGCTTGGTGTTGATGGTAGGTCTCAACGAGAAGAGTTGTGTGTTTGGTTGAATTATGGAGAGAATAAGTTATGGGTTTTGTGGTTAGGGCTTTGGAGAAAAAGTTATATTTAAAAGGGATATTATGGTTATGGAGTTGCAGGTACATTACATTCTCCATTGTTCTTCAATTGCGTGAGCTACTGTTTGCTGTTCTGAATTTATAAGCAAGTTACCCAACATTCGCTAATTCACACGTAACTTCTAAGCCTTTTAATATTCAACATTTTTCTTAACATTTTTTTGTTTTATATATAATTATACTGAATAGTTTTAGAAATATTTGTTAGTTGTTTAATTTTTTAATTTAATGATTTCTTTTAAAAATATTTAAAGTATTTATTTTTTAAATAAATATAATTTACACATGATAAATATTTTTAAAGAAATATACAATAACAGCTGCTACTTTAAATATTCTTAATATTCCTTATTTTACTTAATTATGTTAACATTATAATTATCAATCATTAAACTCAGTGTTTTAATAACCAACCCATGGTGAAACCCAGTAAAATGGCCAAGTCCTGGGTTGACCAGTTTGATTAGCAGGTCAAATCGGTGTCCAAAAGTTTGATATATAACAAAAATACCCTTGAATTACATAGAAGTCTCTATAGGTTAAAAATTTTGCAAAAACAACATAAACACCATTGCCGACGTCAACAAACCAAGGCAAATAGGGCATGTTTCTAATAGCAAAAACACTCCCCATCGTTGCGAAACACTCCCCTCAGCCTCCTAACCAAAACCCATATCACCCCTCCCCCGATTGCCTCGCCAATCGGCTGTTGCCGCCGATTTCGTTTTACGATTTTCGGTCGATTCACTCACCAAAAATCACCTCCGTCGTCGCCATTACACCCACTGGCCCTTCCTCTTCTACAATAGTCCGACCTTCAATTGTTCACCGATCACCGTCCTAATTTCTAGGGTTTCCAATGACTAGGAAAATCAATAACCCGATCCAATGAAGGCCCTAGGTCTTGCACTCATTCATGCTCATGCAACTCTTAAATATCAAACACACATATAATTATTCTTCATTCCATTCACCTAGTGGGTCAAACTCATATTTTCTATGTTTCATATCTTTATAATTTAACCCAAGCCAGTCATCTGGATTGTGAATCTCGTTTTTGGGTTCTATTTAGGGGCTAAAATATCATAATTTAAAGTTTAGGGGTAAAGTATATCTGTCATAGTTTGAAAACTTACACTTTCACCCCATCTGTTCGACGAATTATCAGCCAGATTGTCTTCCAAATTTGAACTGAAGTAGACCCCATTCTGCCCAATTGGTCTGATCAATCAGATGTGGCTTAGCCATTCTAACGACTAGTGCCACGTTGGCGCCACCTTTAATCTAGTCGATCAAATTCAAAGCGGTCAACTGATTTTTATGGTTCTCAAACTCCTGTTTTGGACATAACGGCTATATTTTTGTACTGTCCTATATAAACTCAACGAAACTCATTTTGAAATAACTTTGCACACTTTGAAATGTCATATTTATTAAAGCAAAAGTAATTTAAACAAACCTCTTTAGCTTTCAATTGCAAATCTCTTTTTCTAACACAAACCCTTTGTAGAAATAAACTTTTCCTCTTGTATATTGGTTTGTTTTATGCAAACATTTGTATATCTACTCTTAGAGAGTCATTCTTAAAATTTCATCAATCCAACTTGAGTTGTAAAAGATTGAGGTTCACTTTTGAGTTTTGGATATTTCTAGTTAGAAAAAGTAAGTCCTAGTATTTGAGATAGAGGTTTCAATGCACCTTGTGAAACAATTGTGTGTAAAGTTTTAATATCACATATAGGAAGCTATTTGTATTGGATTTGCCTGGTTGGGTGATCAATCGAGGAAGATCATGGAAAACTCCATGGGGAATAGCTTGGAAGAATGGATGTAGGTCGGGTTGGGGCTAAACCACTATATATCGTTGTGTTTGTTTTTCTCTTCTTTTATCTCCTTACATGAGTGCAATTTANGCTGTGCCCCCGGTAAGATGGGGTCGTGACTTACTAAAGAGAGGTAATAGAAAAGAGTTCTAAGAAAGAGAAAGAGAAATAGAGAGAGAAGTACCAAAGAGAAGTTGAATGAGAAGTAGTAAGGAAAGAAATAGAGAGAGAGAGTTATGGGGATAGATGAGTGGAGAATTTACTTACAGAGCATTATTTTAGTGTTCACCCCGTTGTTTTCCTATGTTTTGGAAGATCCAGGTGAGGACGTCGACACGCGAGGGGAAGCGGTTACATTGTCCACCATGTTTTAATATCTTTTGTATACATTATAAGTTTGTGTAAAAATGTATATGTTTGTAAAGAATATATATATATATATTTAATAAAAAGAAAATTTTGGGCCCAATTTCTTTATATTATTTTATATGTATTTCATTATGAGTATGTGAGTAGAAAGTGGCTATTACACTTTTTAAGAGGAATGGCCAGTGAGTAGAATGGTGGCAACGACTTCAATTTTCGATGAGTGAATAGACCGAAGATCGCAAAACAATGTCGTTGGCGATTGGGGAGGTGAACAGGGGAGGGGATAGATGGGTTTTGGTCAGGATACTAAGGCGAGTGTTTTCGTGGTGATGGGGGAGTGTTTTCGTTGTTGAAAAATGCCCCATTTGCCGATGTCGATGATGATGTTTGGGGTGTTTTTGTAGGATTTCAAACATATAGGGACTTAAATGAAATTTTTTGGGATATTTTTGTTAGATTTCAAACCATTGAAACCGGTTTGACCTGCTCGTCAAACCGGTTAAACTGCTTGATCTGGGACCCAGTGGCTTTGTCGAGTCACCACACGAGTCAGGTTTCTAATCACTGCTTGCAATTACTGTCTTGTTTAGTAATGGTAACAAGCTTGCTTTTAACAACTAGTGTTAACTTCCTTTTCCAAGTTCTAGTTTTCTCTATCCTAATATAAAGTTTATTCATCACTTATAAACTAATGAAATCAAGGAGTTTGGTAATGGTTAAAGTTCTCATAGTATCTAGTGCAACATTCTAGGGGTAACTCAGATTGTTTGTGAAAACATATGCCTACTCTAGTGTTTAGTAGATACTTTTCATAAAGTAATTGTATGCATCCATGTTGTTGTCCTTATACGACCTATTGCGGCCTTATAATTGTACTCATTCGTGGTTCTAGCATCACCGTATAACAAGTTTCCGAATTCAAGTGCGTGGTACGTAACACAGTACCTAATATTGGCATGAGGATGTTGAATTGTGAATTCATTTATGATACATTTTCTGTATTTAACATAAATATCAGTGTCCTTGTTTCAACGAAGCAAATGCTCTAAGAACCAACGCCATGATTCCTCGTTCTCTCCTTCACATATACAAACAACCAACGTAAAGTTCATTATCAACATCAATAGAGACAGTTGATAGGGTACATTTACTATAAGAGCCTTTCAAGTGTGCCTCTTCTAGCCCAAAGAACGATCTGCAACCATTTAGAAAAACCATCTTTTTGGATTGGAAAACTGACAAACATTCTCTGGAACTTTGTACCAATAGGTTTAACCTTAATGTATTCCTTAAAGTTCCTAAGTTGCAAGACATTGGCATAACTATATAGTTTGTGATAACTGATTACTAACATCATGTATGCTCTATGCACTTAGGAATGCCAATATGCAATGTTGCACAAAGACAGTTGTTCTCCCAGGCCACACTCAAAAGACATACTTGAGTTATACACATTGGATTGCTACGATTTTTATCTCCTTTTAAATCTTACAGACAGGGCAATAACTTTTATGTTTTGGTCTAAATCCAATTCATCCGTAAGATCGCAAAAATCACTCAGAAAGTCACGGCTATGACAGGGCAGTTTGTAACATGTTTTCACTTAGGCATTTCATCACAACACTATGTGCATACAAAACTCTACTATAATTACTACTCTACTTCATTCTCTCCCATTCAAAATGGGGAAAAAACTCCCTCATAAAACCATATCCCTGTCAAGAAAAGCACTTCTAAATAGGTTTACACCCATCTCTCAAACTTCATTTTCAATTTCCATTTCTCAATACACATTAAAACACTTCTCATACATGTATCCAACAACCACAAAACCATATTCATCTCAACTCAATTTCTCAACAAGCATAATAACTTTTATACGCAACATCTCTACTCGATCTCTAATCTCTCCTCAAAAGCTTATTCAAAACACAAGTTGGTTGGATTTACTTATCTCATACTTGAATAGTCTTCACTAAACTCTCTACTCTCTTGTTGGACCTTAGCTTTCCCTTATTTCCTAAGCATAACTAGTAAGAACTTAACCCTTACATAATAAACTCATATCTAGAGTAGAGATTCTTACCTCTTCTGCTTAGTATCAATTCTTTGTCAAACCCAACTCAAAACTCTCAAAAATCCCTTAGAAGATTGAGTGAGGAATTGAGAGAAAATGGGAGATGAAGAGGCGGTGGAAATGAGTGAAATGAAGGGGTTTTGAGAACTAAACCCTTATTAGCTCTATAATATACACTCTTTCCCATTTTGTCCCTACTCTTTCTTGAAAATTCCACCTTTATCCTTTAATTCTTTACAAACTCACCCCCATTCTACACTATCTCCATGAAATTTCCTTGCATTTACTCCCAACTTTTCCTGCTAATCAGTTAGAATGGTCATTTTTCCCTTAGGAAAGAATTCTCGAGAAAATAAAACAAAACTCAGCCGGCCCTTCACCGCGGCGAAGGATTCTCTGTCGCCCCGACAAAGAATTACAGAACTACACACCATAACACAAGCCAACGTCGCCGCGCGAAGACTGCAACTCCAAAATCTCCAAGTCTTGATCAATTCCAAGGTTAACACTCAACCAAACCCAAAACATAACTCACCAAGGGCCAACCAAACAACATGAACAATATACAAACTCATTAGGGGCAATTCAGTAACCCTTTAGGCCATAACTAAATAATGCTATGTATCTCAAATGGGGCATTACAAAACTAACAAACATTCTCGTAACTTTGTACCAATGGTTAACCTTAATGTATCCTTAAAGTTCCTAAGTTCAAGACCTAGCAAATTATATAGTTTGTGATGACTGATAACTAACATCATTGTCATTCCTAGTAATGATGTTGTCTTGTTTTTAGCTCTGTATACC